CCGCCCCCCCCTTTCCCCTTAGCTCCCCCTCCCTCGACCCCACCGTATCCCTCCCCGATTCCCATGGACTCCCCACCCGCTACGCCTCCCCCGCCCAGCACTTTCCCAGTGGACTCCCAGTCCTCTGGCCCGCCTCTCCCTCCCCCACCGCTACCATCCTGGCCTGCACCCACACTTGTCACCACCGACCCACTTCACCCCGCCTCTGCACCGTCCTGTTCCTCGCCCAGCCACCGGCCACCCGGATCATTCACCCTCAGCAGCTCGATGATCGACAGCTAAGAAAGAAACGGCAAGTTGAACTCAGAAGGAGCCAGGCGACGTCCACTTCAATCAAATCAAAGCAATTTTCGTGCTTCCCGGTGCAAGGAAGGAGGACGAGCACCGGACACATGATGTGCCTCCAGGTACAGGGGCTAGGAGAAACACATGGGATCGACAGCAAGGGATCTTCACACAATCTGAGAATACCCTACTCATACAGTTGCAGATGCATAATCCTCTCTGATTCACTTCATCCTTAGTTAACTGCATTGTAACGCAAATGTTGGTTGCCTCATGTCAGTCCTCATGTCAGACGAGAAGATGTCAAGGAAGTGAGCGGTCTGGGTAAAGGGTTTTAAAGGTTTTAAAAGGGCCTAAAGGGTTTAAGCAGTGGAGTACCGAAGGGGAAGGGGTTTTCATCCTTACTTAACTGGATTGTAACGTAAATGTAGGTTGCCTCCTGTCAGACCTCCTTGTATAGATTCTGATCTGTGGGGCCCAAGGATAGAGAAGGTGGTAAGGAAGTGAGCGGACTGGGTAAAGGGCTTTAAAGGGTTTTAAAGGGTTTTAAAGGGTTTAAAAGGGCTTAAAGAGTTAAGCACTGGAGCACCGAAGGCGAAGGGTTTAAAAGGGTTCGAAAGGTTTAAAAGCCAGTTTACAAAAGTCAGGTAAAGGAAAACCATCATCAGGGGGCTGCTGAACCAGGAAAAAATGGTCTCAAGCGACGTGTTATGTGAAGTATAAACAGGACGCTGGACCCGGTTTCCAGCAGGTGCCGCTCCCCACCAATAGATGGAGCAGCCCAATAGACAAGCCCTCAATCCTGGCAGTTCTCGTACCACTGCCGGGATAGAGGGATGGAGCAAGGGCTTTAAAATAAAAAAAAATAAAAAAAAAGTTCTGTATTTTTGTTCCTCCTTCGAAAGGGGAAAAAAAAAACAAAAAAAAAACGCATGAGTTGCAGGCTCTTGAAAGGGTTTCAAGAGCCACTCTGACAGGATAATGAATGGCCTGAGAACTCTTGAGTCAGAAAATCAATAATCCGCCAAGGGGTCGGCCACGCTGGGGTTTCTAGCCTTTCAAGAGCTGCTCTGGAAAGGGTCTCAAGAGGCTGCCACTCCAACAGCTCTAGATAGACCCAACTTTTTTTTTGTTTTTTTTTTCCCCTGAAAATTCCATATTGCATTCCATAATTCAACATAGAGGCCGGGGACCTCAACAATGCATCCCAGGGGCTCGGACCCACCAGCCAAGTCTTTCACGTCGTTGTTAGGATTTCGATCGCGTGTGGCATCCAGTGATGCATGACAGCCGTGGATGGCATCCCGTATCGACGGAGGCCATTTTCGAGGTACGGACATTGTGTGGCCTCACAGTTTCCACCAATCGGTGGCCGTTTCGTGAAGAGGACATGGATTTTTTTTATTTATTTTTTTCGATTTCGTAGTCTCGTTCTTCAGACTTGGAAGGGAAGGGGCGTTTTCAAGACTTCGCAGAGGCCGTCCTCTTCGAAGAAACTAAAAGTTTTCGGCCGTCTGACACCCACACAACCCGGCCGTAATTATGATGAAGTTCCAGCAAGGCCGAACAAATACGCTCTCGACGTTGGCCACATCCATTCATTTGTTGCGTASCTGGTCCCRYATCCGAATCGGATTCCTTCCCCACGTGTGATTGTAGGYYGCTTTGTGTACCGTAGAAGGAAGGCACCGAAATCATAGAACTTTCCCGAAATGGAAAASTTCGCCCAAGTGGAAACGGGCTGTGTGGGTCCGTACACATTTTTCTGTGCACGGCTCCATTCCGTTCCGTGAGTGGCAGTTCTTGTGTACCGTACGAGTGGGAGAACTGCAACGCCCATCGTTCGCCGTTTTCCTCTTCATTGGCAGTTCGTCGCTGTTACTTGCAGTTGACGCCATCGCTGGAAAAGTGCTGTCTTGGTCCCACTCCAACACGTAATGGGTTCCACGAATGACCCTGCTGGACTGTCCTGTATTCAGGACTGGGCCTTTTCTGAGTCCCAGTTTGGGACTTCACGCTCAGACCCACAAGTAATGCCCCCTCTTGGGCACGGCCTTGGATCCTTTCCCTCCGCAGGTCAGTATCATGGAGGGGTGAATGGAGAATTTTGTGGGACAGCATCGCAAGCAGTTGAAGATGACACTTTGGGCACACAGTTGCCCAGGTCGCAGTGCTTTGGACCCTTACCTGTTCGTCCCTCCGCCGACGGTCCCACTTCCGGACGACTGTCCAGATCTTTGAACTTTGACGGCACACCTTCATTCACGGGTGCTCAGCAGGCTGGCGGTGGCAGCCAACGTGGATGTTTGCCATCTGAGTCGAGTCCTCCAATTACATCCTTAATCGGCCACACAGCCTGGCATGCAATCCGATCCACCACGCAGTTCAAGTGTGAACTTCGACGGAGCGGCCTCTATTGTGCCGCATACACCGCCCTCCAATTACATCCTTAATTGATTGGCGCGCGATATCGAAGGCGGGGTGTTCCAAGGTGAGGGTTGTGAACCCCCTCCACCCAGCGGCGCTGTGACTCCCCCTTCGGCTCCCCCACTGCACACACCTCCGACCGCTGTGACACCGGAGCATGCTAGTAATGCAGAGGGGGCAACCCCTCGACCGGGGGAGGGCGCCTTCGAAGGAGAAGGAAGTGTTGGGAGTGGAGGGAACAGGTCTTCCTCCGAGGGGACAGGTCGGCGTGGAAATGTCAGGCCAGCAGATGCTGAGCAGATGCTGCTAAGAACAGCGAGAGGTGGGGGGAGGACGAGACAACAGTGTTGTGTCGGGCGCGGAACGAAGCGAAGGAGGTTTTGGGTGATGATACGGAGGCCATGGGGAGGGCACGTGCGAAGGCCGGCTTCTGGAAGATGGTTGCTGATCGTATGTGGGAGAAAGGTTTTAATTGTAATGAAGACCAGTGCAAAGGAAAGTTCCATCAAGTGATGGACTTCTACCACGGGCTGAAGATCCACGAGAAGTGGTCTGGTCTCCCAAGCTATTGGGACATGAACCAGACGAAGCGCAACTCAGGCATTCGTGGTACGACGTCATCGACCCTGTGGAAAAGGACACAGACTCTATCAGCTTGTCACAGCTGCGGGATCCCGGAGCACAACAGGAAGCACGTGAAGAAGCTCAGGAAAAGGGGAACTATCATACCACCACGGAGGGGCTGAGCGAGGAAGCGGGCGGAGGTTCGTCAGGTGGGGCTGCAGGAGGGAACAGGGGAAGCACTTTTGACTCCACACTGGGCAAACACAAAAGAGCAGCTAGTAATGCCCGTGAGACCAGTATGAAGGCTGTCACAGGAGCTATGCGTGACCACACAATCGCTGTTACGCGATCCAACCGTGAGTGTGCAAAGATGCGGTGTGACGTCGCACGTGAGCTTGCAATGCAGCAGCTGGAGGCGCATAGACAGACTGTGGACAAGGACATTGCAGCGCGTGAGAGGGTGGCATCCATAATGGGGGGGAAGGTCGAGAACGGCTACATGGTCCTCGCTGACGCGATCCGCAGTCTGCGTAGCCCACGGAACCGTGGTGGATCAACTCAATCTGACTGTACGGACTCCGCGTAGCAGGATCGGAGTGGATATGCTGTGTTTTGATGTGTAGTGGGAAGTTGTAGACGAGTCATCCGAAAGATGGGCGACACACACACACACACACACACACACACACACACACACACACACACACACACACACACACACACACACACATTGCCTTTCGCCGAAAGATGGGCGACAAGCCGTAATATTCACGTCATTGATCAATCAATTGCTCACCGCTCACCGTGTGCCATACAAATATAAAAAAAACGCCATTCAAATACTACATGCCGTTGAAATATATGTGCCATTGAATAAAATGCCATTGAAGAACATGCCATTGAAATACATGCTATCGAAATACATGACATTGAAAAAGGTCATCGAAAAACGAACAGCTTAGGTCGCAGTGCACAACAATACCAAAAAAATGGCATATGTATCTGCCTCTAAGGCGATGTTCCACTTCACCGCAAAAAAGGCGGCCCACACCTCGTGCTGCATCTCTCTCTCTCTCTCTCTCTCTCTCTCTCTCTCTCTCTCTCTCTCTCTCTCTCTCTCTCTCTCTCTCTCTCTCTCATCGAAGAGACTAACGCAAAGCAGGCGGTGGAGGGAATTTGTCAGGAATGACAAACGACTGTATCTCCTTGTCCCACTCATCCCAGAACGAAGTGGGGTATTGCAGGATCTCGTTCGTCATTTCTAGGCGCACCATCTCCCCCTCCAATTGCTTGAGACGGAACACCATAGCATCGCACGACTTGCACCTTGACCCCTGCGCACTGCAACCGCCGGACCCACCTTCTGCACGGACGTCGTCGCACACTGTTTTCCCCTTTGCCGCAATGGACAGATTTTGCATTTCTGCGCACACTTCCTGCTCCCCGTCAACCACTTCACCTCCCCCACGTGTGACTTCTTCGACGAATAGCCATGTCGTGTCTGCTTGCTGCCGGGCGATGCGCACATCAGCTTCCGCAGCCTCCAACTTCCGCAAAGTGTCATCTCTTTCACGCATGGCATCATCCCTCTCACGCATGGCGACATCCCTTTGTCGAACTGCCTCCCGCTCGGCCGCTGATGCGTTCTCTTGCACCGCTCGGCTCTCCTCAACTGACCTCCTCAACATCTCCAACTCGCAGCTCATACGCATACGGTGGACAACCAGGTTGTTGCAGCATTGCACGAGGCTCGACCGTGAAGCGGAGAGCCGTTTCACAACAGAGCTCGACCATCTGCGTGCGTGGATGTTCTCTTGTGAGACGTCTGTCTCACACACCTCTCTCCCGCACCGCATCCGCACTGTAATGTTATCACCCCTGGCCACGAGGAACTTGTGCAGTAACTCCACCTCTAGCTCCATCTTCTCCAAATCTTGGACCAATGCATGCCTCTCCCACACATAGTCTCGGCGCCCATCATTCCTCGCCATCATGCCAACTGTCCAAACTGCAACTCTCCGCTCAGCAAAAGCAAGCAGCACCAAAACCCGGTACTACTCCGTCACGTAATGTAAGTGGGAGAACTGCAACTGTGGTGTCACTCTCGCAGTCCAAAACGCCGAACGACCTCGCTGCACAGTGCGTCTCTCATGGCCTGGCCGCGGTCCCTGCCGAACATGCTCTGAAGCGGTGTGTTGTCGCCTCGCCTATCCACCGGCGGCAGGGGGAAATCCGGGGAAGACGCATCTGACGCCTCACCGTCGTCTTGGGGTTGGTCGCCCAACTCCTGAAGCAGATTGTGTAATACACAACACGCC